TCATCGGAAGTCTTCAAGCCTAGAACGTCATTCAAGTGATGGGAAACTAATCTCTGAGCACAGCAGTGTGAAGAAAGGGAAAGCTTCAAAATCACATAGTAGCTCTCCTGTAAAGTCTGCAAGCCCAAGACACCCTGCCAGTGATAAAAAGTTGCTTGATGAATGTGTCCAACGCAAGTCACCTGTAAAAGAATCCAAGGTAATTTTGTTTATTGCTTTTTATTGTACACAAAAAATCAGTCTTAAATTTATTTTATTTTCAGCTTCCCAAGAATGCTTTTAAAAGGTCTGAATTTGACACTGAAAATGATCCAGTATCACTTAAGGCATTAAAGATGAAAAGGTCAACTGAGTTAGATGCAAGGCACTCCTTTTCTGATATTCATGCAGAAATCAAGAGTGCCACAAATCCTGCTGATCCAGAAGTCACGAGTGAATGTCTGGTAAAACACAACTCGAATGTCTTTAAGAGTCAGTTCTTTTTAAAACCGTGTCCTAACTGAATGTTTTTTCTGGTTTGTTTAAGGATTCACACGAACCCGGGGGATTTGGTGACTCTCCTGGTGAGAGTCAGACACTATCTGCTCCAGGTCACAAATCAGAATACATTCACTCTGAGAGGAAATTGGTAATTATTATCCATTCTATTAAATTAGAAATTCTATATAATTAGTTATGTCATAAATTTTTTTTTCTTGCCTAATTTTTGCAGCACAAGAATCGAAGAGGTTCAACCAAGGTTTGTATCTTTGCATTCCTATCCTCACCAACACTATACCACCATGTCTCTATCTTTCTTCATTCTATTGCAGAGGACCTATATTGAAGCAATAACTTCTGAGGATGAAAGTCTGAGTGATCGTTCTTCTAGAAAGTCTGATGATGCAATAACTCAACTTTATGTGTCGAAAATTCAGAAACTTGAAACTCAGCTTAAATCTTTGAAACGTGAGAATATTGTGCTGAAGGAAAAACTTGTGTCACCTGCTAAAGTCTCAGGTATGCCTTTGTGCCTATGGATGAACATTCCTCATAATCCATTAATTTTTAGTTCTCACATGATTTTTATTATTTTCAGGTTTTGATGATAATGCTAGGTCACCCCACACACCAAGTAAGGGTTCACTCTCTTCACTGCTTCTAAATGAAGCAACAGCCAATCAAAATTAAAGTTGGTTATTTTTATTTTTCAGAAACCTTAGCTAATTTGGCATCTTCTTCTTCAGTGAAATCAGCTCGAAGATCTCTAGAATTTGGAAAAACTTCTCGCTCTAAATCACGCTCTAAATCACCTGAAGGTATGAGCTGCTTTAGATCTGTAGTTTTCTGTATGGCATTCCAATAAGTATTGTTTTCCGTTCCAGGTGATTTTACTGATAATGCCACTATTGCTGATATGATACTTGATGCTATAACAAACAAAGCACCTCTCCGGTCTGATGGTGAAGGAAAGGTTAGGTTCATTTATCATGAAGTGAATAGTCGGCAGCTTGCCAAAACTATTGACTGTTTTTTTGCTATCTTTATCTGTTTTAAATGAAATCTTACACTTTTTTTTTGTGGCTTTTTTTGTTTTAGTTACACATTGGCAATGGGGTTTACATCTCTTCCAAAGTATTTGAAGATAAAATCAAAGCTTTCAAGGTCAGCCCCTCTATAGCTTTGAGGGATGTGATGGGCAATGTGTACACGTCTTCAGAGCTTGCCAAGAGATCACTGGAAGGAGGCACCCCGGTGAAAGGTGGGCCAGACCGAAAGAAGTTGAAGAAGGCAAAGCTCACACCTCAGAAGAGAGAATGCTTTCTTGGTAATACATTTACTCTATTTTAAAATTAGTTAATAAATATCTGCAACATCTGAAGTGTGTTTATTATTCTTGTGAAATCAGCATATTCAGTTTTTTTATTTCTTTCCCCACAGGTGTATATCGCGCCAAAACTTCACAGAAAAGTGGGTCCCACAACAAGGATTTTCTTCAGCTTTCAGTGGAGAAGGGAGGCAGATCAGTCATTCGAGACAAATTGAAAGAAGCAGCGGTATGTTTCTAATTGTTTATTTTCTATTCCTAGTCATGTATGGTGTATGGTTTGAATTCTTACTTTCCTTTATTCTTTTCAGAAAGCGGAACGTTTAAAGGAAGAAAAGAAGGCGGCAGAAGCAGCAGCGGCTGCAAAACAAGAAAGGTCAAAGGTTGCTGCAGCTGCAAGGCTAAAGCAGTCCAAGGTGGCAGCAACTTCTGGATCTGAATCTTCAGGATCTGACTGTTCATCGCTATCTGTCTCCCCTGCTCGATCTGGCTCCCCTGCTCAATTTCTCTCCGGTTCTGACTCTACTGGTAGCTCTAAATAGTTTCTCATCTCTTCCTTTTTAAATCTGCTCTTGAGGTACATAATTTGTGCCTTTAATTTTTCTACAATTTGTTCTGCCATTTATTTTTCTACAATTTTTTGTGCCTTTTATTTTTCTAACAAGTACATCAGTTGTATCTTATGTTACTGACTTAAGGGCAAAGCTTATTAATACAGCTTAATCGTTTCAATCAGTTCTGTTTTATCATTTTCTTAGTTAAAGCCTAATATCCGGTCAATTTGTTCACGACTTAACCATCCCTTTGTGTCACTTAGCCCCCGCGAGGCTAGGCTAGGCAATCCCGCCGAGCAAGCGTGTTGGGATGGTGGCCTACCCAACGGCTCTCAGGCGGTCAGAACGTGATTACTGACATGCTCGTGTAGTCGAACCAGCACTTCGGTCGCTCAAGTTCCTTGGTTGTGGTTCAGTCGATGTACACGCAAAAGACACGAATGTACCTGTCAAGGGATATACGTCTGCCCCATGGAACAAGGGTTGCCGACGCACTGGCTTGCAGGCGCCGAGGGCAAGCGGTGGATGTGGCGGGGGGCGCCGGTCTCCCCGGTCTCCTCCCGCCACCCCTACCGCTCGCCCTCGGCGCCTGCAAGCCAGTGCGTCGGCAACCCTTCGAGCTGCCGCGTATTCTCCCCGACACCCGGTATCACTCATGGAGTCTAGTCTCCCCTCCCCATGGACACACACATTTCCCCCATGGGATCGGTTCTTCAAGGAAAGCATTCCCCCATGGGAGCGGTTATTCAAGGAAGACATTTCCCCATGGAAATCTGTCTCATGGAAAAGCGGCAAAAAATACATGGAAAGTCGCTTCCCATGTGGTTGGTTCATTCCATGACGTTCCATGACGTTCCATGCATCATGGAAACCCGCATGGGATTTCTGGACTGGGATAGATGTGATCAAATTGGATTGGACACCTTAGCAAAGCATGTCATTTACCAAAGAATTTTTTTTTCATTGTGACATTATAGCAAAGTTATAGTGGGCTCATGTCCATGCATGGCCACATCTTGTCATTGACCTCACTCTCAATGTAATTTTGACATCCATTGTCAGAAGCATTTTAAATACTTTGGAATAACTCAGTAAAAGGTCAAGACGGAAAATCAAAAATAATAAAGTAAATATAAAAGAAAAATGAAGCAAACCTAAACAAACAAAACCTAACCCAATACAGAAAATCAGAAACGATACAGTAAATGAAGAAGAAAAATGACGCAAACCTAAACTAACAAAACCTTTGATACAGAAAATCAGAAACGATCAGTAAATGTAAAAGGAAAATGGAGCAAACCTAAACTAACAAAACCTAACTCAATACAAAAAATCAGAAACGATACAGTAAATGTAAAAGGAAAATGGAGCAAACCTAAACTAACAAAACCTAACTCAATACAGAAAATCAGAAACGATACAGTAAATGTAAAAGGAAAATGGAGCAAACCCAAACTAACAAAACCTAACTCTATACAGAAAATCAGAAACGATAGTGTAAATAAAAGGGTGAATTCGCTGGATGTCAATTAAGATTCATAATGCACGATGCAGAAAATTTAATGGATTCTAATCAAAAATAAGCAACTGTAAATCAAGTCTGACATATATCGTATGTTCTTGTTCTTGAAGATCCTTCCCCAAAATAAGGCTATTGAAATTCCTTATAATTTTTGTTTCTTCATAAAAGGGTGAATTCATTGATGCAAATTAAAATTCAGAATGAAACACAAACTTTAATTGGATAACTCAATGCTAGATGTCATTGATCAACGTAATCAAAAAACCAAAACCTATAACATAACGACAAACCACATTGTATGTCAACAACTGTCAGCTTGTGACTGCATAAAAGGGAAATTTATACTGAATGAATTACTGTCACGAATGTGAATCTTGAATCTGGTTTAAACCTCGATCAACTAAAACGTGATCACGTTTTACTCAAAATAAAATGTCACTATTAATCTATCACAATGGCATCTTGCAAATTATCGTTATCCACATGTCATTTAGATTAACAACTGAAAAGGTTCAAAATCAAACGCTACATGAATGTCTACTACTTCCTAACAAACTGACAGTTTGTATTTCAACAGTCTCCTACCAAACCTAACATGATCACTTGAATTAGGTTGTTCAGTGACGTCGTAACTTGTACATTATTCTTACTTCTTATTCTTATTTTCCTCGTTAATTAAATCTTCACTTCATGTAATTTCCCTTCAAACTGCTAAAATGCATTTGAAATGCTAGCAGACGCCGGTACTCGACCCCGCAGAACGAAATGTACCAACACATCAAAATGGAAATTTTATTTGAAAAATCTAAATATTTTAAATCTCCTCAAAACTGAACCAATCACTTTAAAAGGGCTTTGACTAAACCTTTAGATGAAGTGTTAGCGTTAGTTGAGCAAACTCAGACGAATAAAACTGCATTTGTTTCAACACATTTTTTTTTGTATTCACTGTTAGGTTGGCAGCAACCTGTTTACCAAACTTTTCGTCTCTACATGGTGGCTTCGTTCTCTCGTATAGTATAGTACATTAGAGTATACTATATTTTAGTTTTCACTCAGCCAAAAATGTCAGATAGTCAAACCGAGTGTTTTAGTTTTAGTTTTAGAGTTGCGGAACTTAGCCAGCGAAGTTTCGCGAGTGTCCGATGAGATAACGAAAGTGATATTTGGAATGGTTTACGTGTTTACTTACGTAAGCTCGAGGGGGCGGGGGTAGTGGTTTGGGAGAAATGTGCAAGGGTAACTATTGTTTCGGGTTCATCTCGACAAAAGAAAACGAAAATGTTTTATGCCCAAAGATGACCCGAATCGAAATGGCAGAGTTATGTTCAAATGTTCAATAAGGTGTTAAATCGCCTCTGGCGGCCAAACGGTGCGTCGGAGGTCAATTCTGACGGCAGTTTTCAGGGCCGTACCTCGCCGAGACGAACAAAATGCACCCTTCGAACGTTCAATTTGGAGTTATTCTTCTCCAAATTGACAATTTGGTCGTTTTGGAACACTTTTTACCCCTTTGGGTTCTATTAACTTTGCCATTCCGACTCTGATCGGCTCTGAGCATAAGACATTTCCTTTTTAATTTTGCAAGAGGAATCCGAATCTGGGATTGTACCAAAAATTTGATAACTTTTAGCAAATTGCAATTTTACAAATTTTTCATTGGAATACAAAATAATGGTGTTCAGTCGTT